CAATATGGACCTACGGGATCCAACTGTGGGGTTGTGCTAAACCGTCACATACAAAAATCATACAGAGAATACAGTCAAAAATCCTACGAGCAGTCGCAGATGCACCCTGGTATGTGTCCAACCTATCTCTTCACAACGACCTCCAAACTCCTTTCGTCAGTGACGAGATTCGCAGACTGTCGAGACTATACAGCGCACGGCTAGATGGACATAGCAACAAACTCATAGCGGCCCTGAATACTCCGCCAAAGGTGCCAAGGAGACTAAAACGGCAATGGCCTACTGACCTCCCCGAAACCTCCGAAGACACGGAAAACAATATTAAACATCAACAAGCCTGATAGGGGATTTATCGGAGGATGAATGCTCCACTCATGCCACTCACCCACAGATTTACTTAATGCTCCACAAACAAGAGAGCTGATTGTAAATACGCAGTTAATTAAAAAAAACTTTCATCTGAACTAGTACAAACTTTATAAAATGCGTTAAAATTGGAATGAAGGTTCCACATTCAATTGAATGCTTAAAGATGTATATAAATGTATATATAATAAAATAAAATTACCATAATTTAAGTCATAAAATGTATTACGTTGTTATGATGTATTAAGCATTTAGACAATGAGTTAAAATTATTATATTTATGGTATTTATCGTGTCCAAATATCGTTAAATGTACTATTTATGTTGGTGTTTATTAGTGTAATTATAGCGTTATAATACAGGGATATTGTAATATTCAGATGTTGATGTTTGATAGTGGGCAGGCGTGTTTTATTTCTGCTCCAATTTGATTTCCTTATGGAAATCAGCTGTTGCGATGCTCTATAAAGTTTTATTCTACGTTTTTACATCTGCTTTATTTTTATTTTATATATATATATATATATATATATATATATATTGTGGGTTCATCCACCTCTCGCGTTTCCGAGTCGGGCTTCGTTGTGTGTTAGGTTTCAACGGACCGGACTGATCCGGCTCAGGATAGCGACCATTAGAGGGGTTCTGTGTATACGGTAATGAACTAAAGGGTTCCATAAAATGTTGGAAAATTCTAGAGTAACTGCGCAACTGCAGCTTCTTAAGAAAGGCTCAGCACTATAGAGTGAGTGAGTGAGTGAGTAACTTTGTTAGGTTCAGTTTGTTCCTCTGGCACATAAAATTTCGATTGGAATACGTTTCTGGCAATTATCATTAGCTGTTTATATTTCAAGTGCGTCAGAAAAAATCCACTTCTTAACCGAAACGCATGAAGCATAACTGCTACTGCAGTGTTTGTCTATACAGCAGGCAGACTAAGGACTAACTTATCAAAAACCGATATTTCGTTTAAAGACTCTGAAATGTGGAGATTAGAGCAGAGTGTACCACATAATAATATAAATTGGCTGTATGCACTACTTTTCCCTTAATTTTTATTTTATTGCTGCAAATTTAGTTATGAATAACGCTTTGTGTGCAATGTCCAGTAGTTGCCAATCAGAATTTAAGTCATTCAAACATCTTGGACCCGCTTCGTTGTTTATCATATCTAAATCATACATGTGCAACAAATTGGCGTTACTGGTAGGCTTATAGCTCTAGCTCAGTGCCAAATTATGACTGAAACAGTGAAGTATTTAAATATTAATGTCACAATCACAATCGGATAAATATTTCTCGTGTGTGCTGTAAAATACTCAGTGAAGAAAAAGTATAACATCCTTTGAGAAAGTTGCTCTAACCTTACTGTACCATGCAGTAACAGCGGGAAAATGTCTAATGGGGTTATCTGGGATAATATAAAAAACAAAATCACGTACTTGGAGCTTTAGTAGGAAAAGGGCCCAACAAAGGGGCCGAGCCCCTGGATGCAGGTCCGGGCGTGAAGTCTAATGATGCGCTGATTGTTGCTGTGCGCACTGCATGCCGGGAGAGTAGCGGGAGGAGAAAAAAGAAGAAACAACGTTAGTGCAGGATCATAAATGGAAGTTTAAAAATACTGCTAATACTGAAGAAAGTCAAACCTGCCAAAGGGACTGGGGAGATGTGAACGAATACTAAGCATATAATGTTGCAACAAATACTCTTATGAAAATCGATAATTTTTACTTACGCGAAATACTAGCTTACTTGCTTACTTGCTAACTAAGCGTGTTGTACTATTTATCTTATATGCTAATAACATTCAAAGAAAATGCCCTCTAAACCGCGTAATTTGTCTACAGACTCGGGGCCTTCGTCTAGCGCCAATGACATGAATCTTGCCTGACTTTTGTTAAGCGCCTGATAATATTTTATAACCTGCTAAGCGCATTATATGATAACGCATGGCATAATAATAACAATAATGATAATAATGGTGATAGTAGTTAGTAGTAGTAGTAGCAGCAGCAGTAGCAGCAGCACCAACAAACTACTAGTAGTAATAATTCTATATATGCTGATTTTCTTAAAAATTGCACAGATAACGAAAGGAAATATGTTTAACAACACGCAGAGTGCAGGTGATCTGCGAACCCGAATTTACGAAGTTCTAAGTTTCGGAAGTGGTTTCTCGTTCTCCTTCAAAGGCTTCCAATGAAGTGCCGAAATAGATTTTCGCCATATCTACATAACTCTTGGAGTCATTGGATTTCATTAAGCTGACATCGGCTTAAATATATTATCTTGGCTCTCAACGCAACGAAAACTTAAAATACGTGTAGTAACTAGGGGAAGATAACCGTCACACACTGTTGCTTTTATTTCAATAGCTCTACATTGATGTTTAAGGAGCCGGGATAGCGTAGTCAGTATATCGACTGGCTACGGCCTGCACGACCGAGAGGTAGGAGATCGAGTCCCGGTAACGTAAAAAATTGTCACTACTCCATGTCGTCCAGACCGGCTCTGGGGTCCACCAAACTTCCTACACAATGGGTACCTGGGGTAAAGCGGCCGGAGCGTGAAGCTGACCACTCACCTCCAACTACTGCCACATCCACTCCCCCATACGTTCATGGCGTAGTGCTTAAATAGTTAAGCACAGGGACAACTTTATAATTTTTTTACCTTTACATTCATGTTTCGACCTAAACGGTTATCATCAAGTAAAGGCACAGGTAAAGCTATCATACCTCTAACAGGCCGTGTTATCATCAAGTGGTATATACAAATCAGTTAAAGATATCTGTACTGTAAGTGTAAAGTTTGTTAATTTTGTTGACTCATTAATCTCTCCATATTTTTACATTTTTATGTTTTAACTAAATCTATTGTTACAGTGTACACACTTTAAACTGATTTCCATATATCACCTGAAGATTGTCGCTTAAGATCAAAAGATATATTACATGATCAGAAATTGAAATAAATTGTTTAGAACAGGTTTGTGTGACAGTTGTAATGCTTGCTACCGTTCAGTCCAGAACCTTTTGTCTTCTCGTCTGTTGTCCAAAAACATAAAAATTAGAATATACAAAACTATCATTTTGCCTGTGGTTCTATATGGGTGTGAAACTTGGTCTCTGACATTAAGTGAGGAACATAGACTGGGGTGTTTGAGAACAGGGTGTTGAGGAAAATATTTGGACCGAAGGGAGATGAAGTGACAGGAGGTTGGAGAAAACTGCATAATGAGGAGCTTCATAACTTGTACTCTTCTCCAAGTATAATTAGAATGATCAAGTGAAGGAGGATGAGGTGGGCGGGTCATGTAGCACGAATGGGGAAGACGAGGAATGCGTGTAGGATATTGGTGGGGAAGCCAGAAGGAAAGATACCACAGGGAAGACCAAGGCGTAGGTGGGTGGACAATATTAGAATGGATCTTAGAGAGATAGGATGAAATGGGATGGATTGGATAGATCTGGCTCAGGATATGGACCAGTGGAAGGCTCTTGTGAACACGGTAATGAACCTTCGGGTTCCATAAAATGCTGGGAAATTCTTGAGTAGCTGCAGAACTGGCGGCTCCTCTAGAAGGGCTCAGGTCCATGAGTAAGTTGTGTGACGGTTAATTTTCTTCGCCTTAGAAATAAACACGAAGATGATGCAATTTTATGAAACTGTCCGTTCAAATTAACAGCCTGTAGGGTGCAGAAATAAATAGTGGTCCGGTGTCTAAAATTCAAAATTCACTTCTTGAAACCTGTTAAAATTTGTGACATTTCACCATTCCGAGATTTTCATTGAGATACAGCTCACCGAACGCCGTAGTCGAAGGGTTAACAGTCTTATTTAATATTCTAGAAGTTCCGGGTGCATATCTCGGCACGAGATTTCTCGTATTGTTTGTCTCTCTAGGCAAGTGCCGGAATTGTATGTTATGTCAGGGTATGATCACGTCCTTCTATATCCTTCCCAATTCACTATTCATTAATCAACCAGATATTTCGAGATTATACAAACTTATAACGTGAAAGCATCGCTAAACAAAGATTATAAATTGATATAATTAAGAAGTAGCCCACAGCTGCGAAGTCATTAAGCCGACGTCTTACATAATTAGGTCCTGTAACACAGTCGAAACGCGTATGTGACAAGTGAATGCTACTTTGAAACGAACACGATGTCGTTCGCTTAAACGGAAATTTAACGGATATTAAGCTGCAGATACATGCTTCATTAGCCAAGCCAATTATGCGGCGATGCTTCGGAAAGACTACGAGCTCAAGCGATATTGACCAATTAGCGAATCGGAATTGAAGAGCAGAGCAGGAACAGCCGATGTAGAAGTAGATAAATTTTGCAGTCTACGACATACTCGCTCGCAGCTGCTACAAGAACTCAAGTCAATTTCATTCAGTAATAATATTCTCTAAATGGTGAAAAATAACTTTACATTTACCTTTGTAGTAGCCGCTCACATAAAATAAAGTGTTTTCTGGCAAGAAGTGTCTACAGAATAGTTTAAAAGTTACTTAACCTACAATATTCTCTCGTATTAATCGGATATGTTCAGATCAAAACCTGCCAGGCAATTTATAGGAGGGTACCATAATGTTGGGAGTTACGCATTCAACATGGAGGATTTCATTTCGAAAAATTCCTGTAAATTTAGTATTAATGATATTTCAATTGTATTCTAGTGTGCATTTTACTGACAAGTTAACTGACTTTTGTGTCATTCTGTATTCGTTTGTAAATCTTCTAACAGCGGTACAATTAAATTCTAAATGGTCCTGACGATGGTGTATAACACTCGGGATTACATACATACATACATACATACATACATACATACATACATACCTACATACATAAAGCGGCCTCCGTAGTCTAGAGGTAACGTTCCCACCTCATGACTCGTAGTACGCGGGTTCAAATATCCGGCGGAGGTCGTCGAATTTTTAAAGGCGGAAAAATTCAGGGAACAAGTCCTCCGGGAGGGACTTTAAGCCGTGGGTCCCGTGTCGTAGCTTTAAGGCACGTAAAAGAATCTCATATCTCCAAAGGAGGCCACTGAGCCAAATTTCGGACGTTTCCCGCCCAACAGCAGTCTCTAATACCTCCGGTAGATGGGGGAAGCATTATAGATACCTCTCAGCTAGTAGAGCCGGTCTCGCTGGCTGGGCGGGACTGATGGTAAGCACCAGTACCGGTAGGATATAGAGACTGGTAGAAATCATAGAGGGAAGCACAATGGACCAATATAGGTCTAAGTGCATGGGGAAACACACCCTCTCCAATAACTAACTAACTATATACACACCCATCTACCCAACCACCCATCCAGCCATCCATGTCCTAACTTTGCAATACCGGATGACAGAAGTAAAAAAGCCAGTAATCCCGAGCGGTACAATCACCTATATTATTTAACTGCTATCATCTATAACTCTTCCTCCGAACCAATTATCAGCTGTCAGTCTGTGTTCCAATTTATGCTGGTCAGCAACAGAATCTAAATATATTTTATATGTGTTGGTAAAAATAGCCATAGTACGTATTTTGGGACTAGAGATTCATTTCGTTTATGTTACTGTTTCGTCTGGTGGCAGAATATTCTTTATGGGTTCTAGGGCTGTAACGCTGGGAAATGACCAGACGAGAAGACATAAACGAAAAGAGTTTACCAACTTTTAGCGTTAAAACTTCTCAAACCACATTTTACTAAAATCCACTGTGTCGTTTTGGAAATAAAGTGTGGAAACAAACAAACAGTTTTGACCTCACAAATATGCACTCAGTTTATACACTCCATATAAAAGACCCATGTATGTCATTACGTTGTTTTCCAACAGATTAATTAAACTTAATCAAAATCTTTAGAGGCATTTTCGTGAAAGTCGATACCTTGTTTATTTGAGATTCATCTGAAGGGCCGCTATTTTTGGACCTAGACTGTTCATATCCACCAAGCACAGACCTATGACCAATAAATAAACTCTTGAATATGGAATATGAAAGAAATCCGTCCAACCACTCAGGCGCTAGCAAGGTACACATTCATACATACAGACGGCATTTCAGAAACCACTTTTTCATATTAAAATGGGCTCCGAACGTCTTCATCGGTAAAAAATTCAAGATTTTGTTTCCTTCGATCACAATAATCTTACGTATATACAGGGTGGGGCGCAGAAACTTCCTTTTTATGAAGGCGAATAAAAGAAAAATTATTGCTGATAAACAAAATTTATGTTTAGCTAATGAAAGAACAAACTTTAAAGTTTTAAATCATGTAGTTTTAAACAAAATATCTTCAAGGTGGTGGTCACCGTTCTCTATGCCCTGATGCAACCGTTTCCTGAAGTTCCCCTCTGCACGTTCCAACCTGTGCATCGGAATTTGGGCTACTTCCTGCCGAATAACATTCTTCAGCTGAAGCAGGTTTTTGGGGCGATGTTTAAAAACATCTGCCTTGAGGTATCCCCATAAAAACAAGCACAGGGCGTTAGATCAGGTGAGTGCGCTGCCCACGGAATGTCACCTCGAA